TCTTAGTTATGTACAATTCATTTAATTGAATTTGTGTATGTGAATGAGTAAATGTGATCTCTAATGTAAAGCACTTTGAGGTCGGAAAGACCAGAAATTACCGTTCTGTGGCTAATGACAAAGTTGCTGGGGAAATGATTCACCGAATGAATACATATTTTGGATATACTGTGGCAAAGCCTACTTTAAATATTTTTTTATGGAAATAACTTTACAGCAATTATTGTATTTATTATGTGAAAGAATCAAAAGGAAGCACAGTCTGCAAAACTGCAGATGAATGTGTTTTAATAATTCTTCCAGCATCATGTGAGGAGTCTAAATGTATTTTAATGTTTCTGTCCTCCTCTTTCATCTGTGGCAGAGAACTTTTTTGAATTGAGATTTGCCATGCTTTCTTTGTGTTGTTGGAAGTCATTTATCTGTGAGTGATTGAGAGAAGCATGTATCCAAAGTGCTGCAGGATGGTGATTGCAGTCAAACTGCCTCCAATTCTTAAAGGAACACAGTGTGCATTCATTACGGTTCATTTGTGACAGGATGATGTTACTCTTTACACATTTTGAACCTCACAGTTTGCATGAATACAAGCCATACGGCACACAATGAAGCATGCAGGGTAAGTCTCCCAGGATACTGAACACCTGCTAGCGCCAGCGGGCAAAGCTCCAGGAGACGTAGTGGGCTACTCTGAGAGTTGGAAGCATCTCTTTATGCCAGACAGACACAGATTGCCCACTCAGCGAGAGAGGCAAAGGAAGTAAGGAGGGAGGGAGGTGAGAGTATAGAAGAGGCTTGAGTGGAAAAAGGAGGTAGGACTAATAGGTAGAAAGTAAGAATGAAAGGGCAATGGAAAAGGGGGAGAGAGGAGAAAAAAAACAGTGCTTTCAACAAGAGGTGGAGATTTGTGGGAGATGTTACTGAGCTGGCGAGGGAGACAGCGGGATAGAGAGAGAGCTAAGAAAGGATTTAAATGAGAGAAAGAAAAGACGTGGAAAATTGAGAAAAATGTTGCGCTGGCAGAATTGGGGTCTTATTGGCTGGCTGGGGAAATGTGTTGGAATTACCTTGCAGCTATAAGCCTGTCCTGCTGTAGCTCTGCACTCCCGAGTGTATTTCAGGACTCCCCGTGCAACTCTCTCCTTGACTCGACTTTGACTTCACACACTGTGGTTTCAAATGGCTGTAGAGACTCCACCAGCCTCATTAATTCTTCACCACTTCTCAGTCATACTTCCTCCGGGCAGACGTTAAACAATTCATCTTTGCTCTAAAGCCAGGAAACACATTCAGAAATCTGGTCCGGTCCCATCAGTCATGCTGTGCTGTGGCTGTTTTCTCATGTTTACTGACGCTGCACACCGGACTGAAAAGAGAAAGCAGTGCATTACAGAAGAACCCAAACTTTACTTACAACACACTCATCTTTTCATTGCACCATCATGGCATCCCCCAAGGTTTCATACTTGGTACGATGCTCTTTTACATGTGTTTACTTCCCATATCCCATGTTCTTCTAAATCACAAGTGTTATAACAGTATATACCTCCACCTAGAACTTAATAAGTACAACATATGACCTCAAAAGCTGTCCTCAAAATATAAAGTCTTGTATGGATGCAAACTTTCATCACTGAGAATAAAAGTCATGGATTTGGTTTAACCACAGTAAATTACTTACTTAATTTCTTGGCCCATTGCCCCCTCTGTTAAATAAGAAAAGTCAGGTCTCAAATTGTCCATAAATCAGACAGAATCAAGTTCCAACAGTCACTGACAGAGATTTCTCTTTTTTGGTCACCTTTAATCGTACAAAAACATAGTATGAACTACCCCTGCCTTTGGGGTGGATCCAGAATCTAGGTTACTACTGTAGATAGTTCTCCCCTTATTTATATTAAATATTGTTTAATCTTTACTTACCCTTTTTGCTCAAGTGTTTTTGCTTCCCATCAAAACTATTTTTTCATGTCTGCTTTTTAGCAAACTCTCAATTGAACAATAGCAGAACAATGAATTGTGTCGGAATAATTTCAGAATTACTTTAGTCAGTTAACACTGAATATTTTTCGATATCATCATTCTGTGCTGGCTATGCAGTGTGCTCCAAAAAAAAATACTTTTCTGTGAACAGAAACATTCTTTTGAAAGTGACAGATGCTGCTGTCGGTGCTTTGCTGCTAGATGGTGAGACTGTATCTCGGGGACAAAAAATCTCCTGCGTAGAATGCTACAAAAACTTGAAATGCCTCCCTCTGTTGTTTTGCTCATACATATTATGCACAGTGAAGTTCTCTGTTATTCCAGGCTTCAGCTCTGGCACCATATGTTCAAAACATATTATGACAAGACATCATAATATGTTTTGTTTCACCTCCTCTGCTTTCCATCAGACATCCAAGAAAAGAAGAGACACACTTGAGTATTAAGATGTGAAGAAGAACAGTGAAAAAGAAAGCACTGTTATAGGAATTAAAAAACACAAATAATGTCTATTCTCCTATTTTACCTTAATTTTGTACATATTGGATATGTTTTTTCATTTGAGAATGAGAGAAATTTGTGGTAATTTGAGACTTCAGTTTTTCCTGTCACCCAGTAATGATTCTGCCTTGCTGTGTAAAAGTCCAAATATTATCAGCTGCTTAAGAGTAATAGCAGACACTGTGTCGATGCGTCTAAAATAGCTCTTGTCACTAGTTTTTTTCAAAGGTTATGGGTCCTGTCACATTATAGTTTAATATGAATCATTTTACTTTATAATAAATGTTGCTATTTTTGAATCTCTTGGACTTGCTCGGTGCAGATTGGATTCTATTGTTATCCTGTCATGCTGATTTCCCTGCCATCAGGAAAGCCATGCATCATCAGATGAAAATGAATCGTTATGCCAGCTGTGATTACAGTCGGCACTGAAGGAATACTTAGCTACAGAAAATTGTCCCCGAAAAATGTATCCCGCCGGGCAGCAGAATCACCAGGGAATCAGTTCAGGAACATTTAATGTCTTTTTCTTGTTTTGCTTTTCAACAGAGCAGAACAGAAATAAAAAATCACACTCAGAAAAAACATTTGTCTGCTCCAATATGTATTTATTTGTGTCCTGCTGTTTTTTTTTTATCTGTCTAAGAATCTATAGTGAAAGTTTGACAGTTTAAAATGAAGCGGCCAGTCGTATCTGTAAAATGTCAATTTTCTAGGTCAGTTTCACCTTTGAATTTTATTTCACACCACAGTAGAAGACTCAAACCAGAATCTTTCTTCTTACAAACAAATAATGTCATTTCTCACAAACATGTTAATGTATGAGACACGCTGACTAGTCTTACAGTGTCTTTGCTTCAGGCCGTGTTATGTATAGCACGTCTCTCCTGCATGACCCACTTGTGGCTGACAGGTCTCTGTTCTGCCTCCGAATAAGAGAAATGGATAAAAGTATGTTCTCTGCCCTTGTACCTCTCAATGTCTTTGCAAGGTTTCACACTGTAAGATATAAAAAGGCAAATGGACTGTAGAGGAAGAATGAAAGGTGTCCTTGCACCTCAGTCTCGGGAGTATTAACATAATATGGAAGCTATCGAAGTAAAAGGAGTTATTCTTAAGTGGCGAGAGTGAGCTGTTTTTTTAAAGCTCATTCGTAAAGGAACTTCATGTTGCCCTGACAATCCAGGTGCAATAATTCAATACATTACATAATCAGGAAAATATTTCAAGGATTTATTGTGAATCCTACATTTTGTCCACACATAGCCAGCCTGTTCATCTCTGAGCTGAGGAATCAAAGCTTTCTTTAAATGCTCTGTTTATGCCTTTTGTCACTCAGTAGCTTGTTGGGGATGTGGGTTTCTGCAGAGCCAACACTGGGAGAACACTGGTTGCATAAAATTATTTTATTTCCACTTACAAATATATTGTTTAATCATTTGAAAAGTAACAAAGCTCTGAGATTTGCGGTAAAGACTTGTTGATGCATGGTTTGTACGTCACACTGCATAATAATAAGAAAAGGTGGTCTCAGTGCAGTAAAAGGGTGTTGTATTGTAGTGAGACTGGAATTGTGTGCGTGTGTGAATTGGTGTTTCATCTCTCTGCTTTCCAGCTCGCCCCTCTGCCTCTCCTATCACTTTCTCTCACCCTCCCATCTTTCTCAGCTCTTTCTTCTCACCACACGCCTCAGTTCACCTCTGCCCTCGTCCTTCATTTCTCTCTTCTCCTCTCTTCCCTCTTCCTCCACCCTTCTTGGCTCCTGCACAGCTCTATCCCTACAGTACATCTCCTCCTGACAAATGAGGCCACTGCCTGGCTGCAAGCAGCGGTGCATCAAGGGCACGACTCCTGAGGGCCCAGTCAGTCAAATGACACCGTCCCTCTGTTTTCAACCTCTTCCCTTCCATCTTCCTGTTCATCCCTGGGATCAGCCTCGCACAATGCCAGGCGAATGTCAATTACAGAGACGATGACCAACTTCTCTCTTTGCTCACCTGGTCTAAAGAATCTCAGGAGATAGCCATAGTTTTGTGGATTTGGCTTGTCCATTCTTTTATCCTCTTCTCGTTAATCTGATATTTCAGGAGAGTGAATATCAAACTTTTATTCACCAGGTATCCTGAAGCATGACTCGGAATTAATAAAAAAAAAAAAACCTTAGTATGTTGAATTGTGATATATAATCTATTTCAAATTATCTGTTTCAAAGTTGAACTTGAATAGCAGTGCAGTTTTCACATTTCAAAAAGCAGTCCAGAGAAAATGATGTCATGTGTAGATGTTTGGTCAACACCTCCAAGAAGAAGTTGTCTCTGAATTACACCTTGCTATATTTATTTGACTGCCACCACCTTGTACTTGTATGTCATATAATGTATTTTCCTGCTGAAGTGGGATGCAGCAGTGTCACCAGTGAAACTGAGAAATAGAAGTCTCTGTTTCTCTCATTCTTTAGGATGTCTTGAGTCCATTATTCCCTGAAACTTTCTCTTTTCCCCCCCTCTCTCTTGCAGCTCTTTTTACAGAAGTGCCACACGACATCACAACACAGAGTGGTGAAGATGTAGAGATGGCTTGTTCCTTCCGAGGGGCGGGCTCTCCCTCCTACTCCCTGGAGATCCAGTGGTGGTACATCAAGGACCTCAGAAAGTGGCAGGAGAAGTCAGCCCAGAGCACTAATTATGTAAGCTGCGACTGTTTTGTTTTTGTTGAATGTAGAAGTGCAGAGAGACTTGAACCCCAGGGGGCAGTCTTGCAGTTGCCAGGGGAAAGCTCTACCGATCAGTTTCAAAATAGAAATTGAGATACCAAAGGAAGCACAAGTTTGAAGGCAGAGTAGAACAACTCAAAAGTCAAATTTTAAACTGAGATACTGAAAACCATATTGTAACAATGACTACTTTTTGTCACAAAGCAACCAGTGCTATCGTGCGGGGCTGCAATGAGACCATTGGTCTGAGAAGGGGAACAGGGACAGAGAGTTCCCCCCTCCGCTGACCAGGAGGAATCAGTCAGAGCAAGCCAGAGACTGGGAAATGTTGGCTTCTAGTCCAATCACAAATTGACACCAACACCTAAACACCAGACCCAGCTCTCTGGTACAACACCCTTTGTGTCGTCTCCTTTGTAGACTTGACAGTTCTCTGAGAGGATGCTGCAGCAAATGAGTGGGAGAGGCATGTGGAAATGGCAGCTGAGGTAGAACAACGATGCTGGGAAGAAATTGTCCGCTGCAGGGTCTTTATTACAACATCCACCATCAGGTTGCTCAAACAGCTGGGAATCCACGGACAAGCTCCGCTTCAGACCATAAAAGAAACATAACAGACTGTGGAACGCTGCAGCCACTAGCTCTGGATCAGGAGGAAAGACTCCAAAGATGTTAGGAACATACACCAGGTTTGATCAGTCTTGGGTGAGCCTGCCTTAGCAGAGGGTGTCTTGTGATTAAAATGCTGGACCACCCAAAGATGCAATCTGGTGGTGCGGAACTGATGATATGTCCCTAACATCTGCTGGTGTTCACTTATATCTATTATCTGTCAGTTGTTGTTAATGGTTGTTTGTTGGCTCCGTGATACGCTAGTGACCTTTCCAGGACGTACCCAGCCTCTTGAACAGTGTCAGCTGGAATTTGCTCCACCCTCCCCACGAGCCTCAAAGGATGAGCAGTATGCATTATGGATGGATGAATATTAACCATTAATCAGAACAAATCATTCAAACATGATCTTTAATAGATGCTAACTGGCCAATTAAAAAGCAAGTTAGTTTTTGTACTTTGCCCATGTTTAAAATAAAAAAGCTATAAAAATTATATTTAGTGAATCCAGCAAACAAAAACATGATATAACAGAGATGGTCAGTGCATGGTTAGTGCTTTAAAGTCAAGGCATGACAGAGCTATTTCCTCAATTTTTCATGGCGATAATTTTAATCAACAACCCATATTTTATTCTCCATATTTTTCCTTTTTATTATTATTTGGACACAACTCGTATTGACCCTAAAGCTCTGTAGAGCATGAAGAGGGAAAAGCAATATTAGCTATGGCAGAAACCCTGTAGCACTAAAATGAAGGGATAATTGCTGATTAGCATTTGTCAGCACTGAGGGAACAGGTTGACTCTCTCCCATCATGGGGGAACTCACAGGCACCCCTGTTGTGCCTCAAGACACTATAATTGGCTCTGAGAAAGAAATAGATTTTCAAAATCTCTCTCCACTCCATGAATAATTCATACCTATGCCCAAAAGAATACCTCTGTGCCTCTGCATACACTTTCACAGACGGAGCCTACGTGTGCATACACACATTTGAACATGCACATATAAGCAACATAACACAAACCTGCTGTAGATAAAGCTCAGCCACAAGAGATAATAATAGATTACTAATACAAGAAGCTTTGTGTAGATTTGTGTAAAAACTGCAGAGAAACATCAACAATATTTTGTTGCTGTGGGATGTTGCTAGGGATATGTGCATCTGTTTGTTGCTACTACATCATTCATGTTTCTGTGCAGGTTGTACCCCTGGAGGAGACGTCCAAAGATGCCACCAAAATCAGCGTGAGTTTGATCTGACATCAGCTGATGCACAGAGCAAAGTCAAGATCAAACATATGCATCACTAACTCCAATCTCTTTTATTTTTCTCCATCAGGTGGTCAAAGTTGCCGGCAGCAACATCTCCCACAAGCTCCGTCTGTCCAGCGTCAAGCCATCGGACGAGGGCACGTACGAGTGTCGCGTCATCGACTTCAGTGGCACCGTGGCACAGGACCACCGGGTACGTGCCTACCTCCAGGTGGAGCCAGAGAGGCGTGGAGGGCCGGATAATGTCAAGCTGATGGAACCAGGCCGCCGGTTGCAGGGGAACCAGCCGCACCCCCACCATGAGACAGAGGGCAGGGAACTAAAGAGGAGATCAGCCGGCAGCACCACTGACTGTAATGAGAGCTGTGTGCTTTAGAGTGAGACGTCTGCCTGCCTGTCTGTCTGTCTGTCTGTCTGTCTGTCTGTCTGTCTCTGTCTGCATGGTCTCTGACGTGGGACACTCATCCACACACACTTCACCACAGAGCTGAGGTGTCAATTGTAACTGGACACTTCGTGTTTCACGGTTCTTTTATCTCCTCTATTTGGAATATTTCTGTTTGGATGCCAGTGCTGTTGAATGCCAATAAAGGGCACATTTTTATTGAAAGTATATATGATTATGTTCTGTCCATGCTTTTTTGTTTCCATTTCAATTATGTTAATGTAACAGCCAGCCACTGTAACGACAAAGACACAGTTTCTTAAAGTTATTTTGTTTGAGCGGGACTCATTTAGTGGCCGATCCCTCACAAGGTTACAGCAAATGTCAATAGAGTCTGAATTATTATTATCATGAATAATAAATAGAGTAAAGTCTGGGTTCATTGATCCAGACACACAACCCTTTCCACACCAAAACCTGCTGTGTTTCAAGCTTTTTTTCATTTATCTGAAAACGTTTAATCTTTGTTTGAACACAAAACTACGTTCATGTATTTAGCTTTCCAAACCACATCTAGAATGTTTGTTAAAAAACCAGTGTATGTATCGCATCGAGATTGTAATATAAATTCTTGTATATGTTTAAACTCTGCACTGTATATTTCCTGTCGCTAAAAATACGGTTTCCTCTGTGCTACTGAACCAAATGACTCCAGAAACATAGCCATGCTGTTCATTGTTTTCTAAACCTCAGTATAAACTTTGGTCGCAGCCTTTTACACGTAGCTCATCTCCTCTTGACTGTGTTTGTTCTAAGTGCTGTTTGGTATCTGTTCTGTTAAATACATTGATTTGAAGTGAACTTGGTGTTTTTTTTATTACATGCGTCAGTGTTTTCAATTAAGGTTTCAAGTAATTTGCAGAAGGGTGTGTAAGCTGATTGTTGATGAAGCCTCAGAATGTGTTTCTGTGACGTCAAGAATAATAGTTTTTCATCATTTGACATAGGATATATTCAAGCAAGATTTTAGGAAAAACAAAATTCTTAAAAGTGTGTCACTCACTGACAAAATAATTGCCATCCAAAATTACCTCTGTCCAAAGTCTTTATGTTATTGATTTAAGTAACTGGTAAAACAATTTTCTTTTTTCAGTAAAGAAACTTAGTTTTGACGTACCACAAAACTCCGAGCTGAGAGGTTAGCGGATCCTTTTGTCCTTATTTAAAACTGTGTGATCATATGTTATAGTGTTCATGTTAATATTTATTGTCAATGGGATGTTGAGATATTTTCTGCACATCTGCCTGAATAGGCAAACATATCCTTTTATTGAGTAGAGGACGGTAAGAGGGGAAGTAATGCAGTTTACATTTTTTACATCAAATCTCAACATTAGCCTATTATACACTTGTATACTCATTTCCTTCAGTGAAAATGTTGTTTTACTGTGAGCCACTGTACAACACAAACATTCTGCAGATCTTTAACTTCCTCTCTAATGCATGGAGATACTGTTTCTGACCAGCAGAGAGCAGCAATTCCTCTAACCTTCAAAATAACTCAAATGCACCAATACTTGCATGGAAACACATATATCTGGACTGATGGGAGAATATAGTTCTACTGTTTTTTGCCATATGAAGAGTATGGATTGTATTTTGTATCAGTGCAGAGCAACAGTTAAAGAGTTATTGTGCAATATAATGTGATAAAGTCTAATAGAACGATTTAGATCAGATTTGTTTCCTGTGCTTTAAGTGCGTATTTCCTGAACAACATTTAGTGTTTAATTAGTGTTTTTCTTTCCACTAGAGATTATTTCATTTCTGCTGTGGTTTAACTCAATGACTCTGATCATTTGGGAGTATTTACAGGCACAGTGGGCATTAGGGTTCCTGCAAAAGGCAGGTGAAAGGGCACAGGGGCCACAGTAGACATGAAATAATCAAATTCAAAAAATTTACACATTGCATTCATGCTCTCATTTAAAAACATACCTAACAAGACTGCATGAAGACGATGTGACTGGTTGAAATATTACAACAACAAAAAACAGATAGTAATTATACCTTTTAATTGTAGCACCTTGTTAAAATTAAAAAAGTGCATGGTATTTAAAATACATACTTAAGTCTGTGAGAAGAAATAATAAAGATCGTCTTGAAAACTTAATGCACATTTACAATTACAGTCTTAATTAGTAGTACAAATTGTTCTCAGGTCACATTTAGGCAGCTATGGCTTTGAATAAAGACAGATGCACATGTAGAGCAGGTACTCAGCAAAATACACTGATATTTTTGATAATTTAAATAGAAAACTTGATTTGTTTGAAAAGTGTGCAAAAGAGCATGCTTTGCGAAATGGTTTAAAAATAAACTTTTCTTATGTAAAGAGTAAAAATGTTGCTGTAGAGGCTGAAAAGCTCTATTTTCCGATGATGATGTTCCTGTATCCCTTGACGTGACACAGTTTGTTGCTGTCAAAGTCGACGACCAGCTTCCTCAGGCCGGAGCGAGAGGGAGTGAAGTAAATTTTCACCTTCACGTCTTCCCCTGGTCCCACAGAGGAGCCCAGCCTGTAGGATAAATATTTAAACATTACTTTTGTATCACACACACAGAGAGAGGGCTTTATTACAGTCACTCCTATTGCATAAATATTTAGACAAACTATTATCACTGACAGCGACGGTTGTGACTATTTATGGAGCTGCAGCTGCTGTGTTTGACTTGCTCCAAGTGGAAATTAGGAGAAATACATTGATTGAATGACTGTTTAATTAACCTTTATGAGCAAGTAGAGCTGTGGCAAAAAACTGACCCTGAAAGTGCATCCCACTCATGGCGGCAGAAATCCAAATCTGCATTCATGTATTGTAATTTATCAGCTACTTCTTACTTTGGTCACAGAATGAGATCAAGGAACAAATAAATTCAGAGTAACATCTCTCCTTCTTCCTTCCTCCTCCTGTTTTTTCCTGGATTTCTTGCATATATTTTACTCTTCCGATGACACACACACACTGACACACACAAGCCGTTTTTTAGACATGAACTCCAGAAAATATCTGGAAGATTGGATCTGGAAATTTTGTTCGGCTTTCACATATGAAGAATGCAGTCGTCGATTCTCTGGTTGAACAAGTTCACAACAGCAGGAACATCCAGATGAGGGGTGGTGCAACATGCAGGAGGAAGGAAATGATATAGAAATTCCACTGCTGAGGTCACATCATTTTTTTTTTCAGCACAACAACACTGGTGATTGGTTTTAACTACCAAAGACTCTCAAATCTCATTGTCTTTGTTGGTAAACACATTCACATCGAACGTATCTGTAAACTCTGACTGGGTTAAAACCTCAGTAATGATACACACTCACAACTAGGGAGGGACATCTTTCAAGAGATATGTTAAAACCAGTTCAGGGCCCTTAGGGCACATTTACAGTTTCTAACTTATGATTGGTTAGTCAGTGAGTAGCTCATTGTCTGCAGAGAATAACAAAATCCAGCTGGATAACAAGAGTCTCTTACCTCTCAGAGATGACGCAGCCCCCGGTCAGGTTGGCCCCTTCAATGCTGAAGCAGCAGTTATCCAGTGTCTCTGGCAGTGGATTTTTGAGGGTGATTTCTGCAGCCAGTTTACGATTCATCTTTGGTTCTCCTAAGATCTGCAGAGCACAGACACCTTGAGGTTCTTGTCATTGAGAGTCTCAGTGTGGTTACAATAAATTTAGTCGGTTAATGCACAGAAAGAGATGTAGATTTTTGAGTATAACTACAATGACAGGCTTTTGTAGGTTGTCAGTTTAAGAATAAGAGAAAGAACTGCAGGCCACTGTAACAGGCGTATGAGTGAGCTTCTATGGTATCATATAGCTTTTGAATTAAAAAAAATAAATTTTGTTCTTCAAAGCTTTGTTCTGACTTTAAAGTTGCATTGGACATTGTCTTTTCTACTGTGGTGCCGAAAAAGGAAAAACTTGAAACACTGTTGCGGTTCATTTATCATGTTGCAGGTTATACTCACTTTGACTTTGATTTCAGGGTTGTCGAGCACAATGTTTCTCACTGCCAGTATTGTTTCTGTGGTGGTGTAGTCCAGCACCAGAGCCGCCAAACGGATTAAGTTGTCCTCAGTGAGCTTGCTGCTGTACTTAGAGTAGTTCAACCGGAGTGGAACCCGTCTCTCTAGAAGGACAAACACAATATACTTCAAAAAGGAAAAACTCAAGTCGAGGGCATGAAGCTTTCACAAAGGGGCTTGTCTCACCTGCTCCTGGTGACAGCTCAACATTGAGCAGATCTTTAAAGCCACAGTTCCCTCCCAGCAACCCATTGTAGGACACACTGCATGATCCAAACACCAAGCGGCACTTCTTGTTGCTTTGCGTGTTGTTGGTAACCACAGCAAACACGTCGAAGTCACAGCCCTTCCTCATGTCCGACGACACCTTGATGGTGAGGTGTAGGCCCTGATTCTGCTGCTGCTGGAGCAGCTTGTTTTGGTGGTTGGCCTTCTTGAAAGTCTCCCGCTCTTCATCAGAACCTGACAATGTTTGAGTTTTACATGTTTCACACATGAATGATACAAAACCAAAAAAGAATTAAAGAATTTATAGAGCAAAAAATTACTTCAACTTTAATCCTATATTTTGTGGTTAAAAATATGGTTTAACATTTCGGGAGACAAATATTTAGTTTGGTTTGTCTACATTTACAATATATCGTGCAGTTTAATGTTCTCTACCTTCAGGATACTTGTAAAGATGAGTGATGTCCTCTCTGGCGTCACTGCCCACACTCTTCGTGCTAATGTTCTGGCCTACCATCGTAGTGGTTATGACACTCGATGTGCTGCCGTCTTTTTTCTTCTTGAGGGTGATGACATCCGCGTTGACCTCCGCAAAGACGAATGGGGTGTCGTACTTGAACGTGAGCTCTCCCTCCTTGATGGCCCTGAGGGGGGTGGGGCCACAGCAGTAAACTCCTGAGGGGGAAAAGCCAAAGCTAAGATGATAGATGATACACGATACTGTAGATGATAGATCCACCTTGGTGAGCATTTCCCTTGAACAAGAACAACATCATGGGTGCACTGGTGCAGAGGGTTTGTTACCTTCACTTTTCTCCTGAGGCGTAGGGTCGGTGGCCTGCCAGCCATTAAAATCAGATGTAAGGTCGGGCCTGGTCATCCAGTTCTCCACCCAGCAGTGATAATTC